CGAGGGGATGATTAATTAAAACCCGCCTCTACCCTACGTTCTTGCATCTTCTCGACCGTATGCTAAAGCTCGAGGAAAGCGAAAACGATGAAAACGGAACTTTCTCAGCTTAAACATCAGATTTTAAGCAGATTATCAGGTCGATAGGAGAAGTGATAATATTGTCAAACGATGTTTGATTTCAAATAGTTGGATTATTGTTCAGGAAACTTAAACGAAGACATTTATCTGTAATAATTGGATCGGTAAAGTAATTTTGAAATTATTATTTTGAAGATTACGTTAAAAGAGGTGAAAATAGGGTTACGCATCTACTAGGAGGTCAGGCAACTCGATCACGGTAAATTTAGAGACATATGAAACGACGGAAAGCGTCAGTCATCTTCTGAGTCGTGAAGAGCTAGTTAGATATATATCAGAAGCAGAAACATGAGTAAAGAGAGGCAGAGACCCAAAACGAAGATGATGACGATGATAAAATAATGTAAATATTCCGTTAGATTAATTATTATATTATATTATAACTGCCTTTAGAATTACAAAATAAATATGATAAGAACAGTTCAACGCATAATATCTAACAACGTTCTTTGTACCAATTTAATGTGTAATTTTTTGTAGGCTACTTTGACGTTAACCAATAAAAAGTCGGTTTTTAAAATTGTCTTATCAAAACAAATACAACATCAAATATTTTAAACAAAGCGATAGATTGGTTGGATCATTCAATATTTAATTAAATCGAAAAGGCTCTGAAATAACATCAAAATAATTGTTAAGGGTTGAAACACTACCTTCTTTAGCAGGACTATTATTTATTAATACTTATTTATAAAAAGAACTAATTTTAATATTAAGTAAAGTTCAAGGCACTTAATGGTTGGAAGGTTTTTATTTATGAAGAACCAACACCATTGTTATATCAGCTAGTCGAAACGTTGTTATTTTACTTAATATTACGACGAAATGGACGAAATATTTAGTAATTTTGTATTAATTTTCATTAAGTATAAATGTAGAAATTCGTGTAACTTTTGTACTTAACATAAAGGGTTTTTATATAACTATTTCCACGAATTTCTGTATTTACCTCAGCGGTATTTTGTTACAAATCGTAGCGTTATGTTTCTTTCAAACTTGTAAAAGCGATAAACTTCCACACCAAAGAAACCGCAGACACAAAAGCTTGACATTCTCATGACTACAGACTGTAAATATGTTTTTCTGAAAATGAGACGTTATATGCTCTCAGCGGTTGGGTATTTTCATTTAACTTGCTCAGTTATCTGTTTGCTTTTCTATCTATCTGTCTGCTTGCTACAAAACTTGCAAGTTCATTTTGGATTGAAATTTTGCAACCGGTGTAGATGCGTAACCCTATGATATAAAAACAAGAAAACGAACAAATAACGTTATATGTCTATCCATGTAAAACTTGTATCAATTAATCCAAAATTACTAGTCAAATTGGGAAAGTAAAGAAGTTTTTATTCTTGTTGATGCTTGACATGGACCCTTAAGTTCTGAATAGCAACTCGATATTAATTATATGAAATCCTTTGACATTTTTAGTTACTTAATAATGGATTAATATACAATATTAATTTGAAATCATTTCTTCGATTTTTTATTCACCCACTACAATCTATCTCAAATTAATGAGGGAAAAATTGTTGCTGTTGTTACACCCCCGCCGGGAATCGAACCCGGNCTCTCGTAGTTTAGTGGTAGAACATTGGCGCGTAAAGCCAAAGGTCCCGGGATCGATTCCCGGCGGGGGTGTGACAACAGTAACAATTTTTCCCTCATTAATTCGAGATTAATTAATACAGTTTACGTTTTTCCCTCAGTAGTCGCCTTGAACTATGTAGACACTAGTTAAAAACTACGATATTGATCACGATTATAATGTTAATTAACCTAGATTATAAAACAATGAAAACTTTTAACGATATTTCTTATAGGTACTCTTATTAAGGTTTCATTTTCTTCTTTAGAAAATATCTGATTGCAAGGGATGATTTATAAATAGCTTATCGACGTCGGGTCTACATAAAGTTGAACCGACCGATAAAATTTTGCTTTATGTTCTTTTTTCGATAAGCGAGTGATTATTCTGGGAGTAAATTGATCCTAAATGCATCCGCGGAAAGTGCTTTGTGCATTATACAAACAAACAGAACATATTTACTTCGTGAGACTCAAACTGTTAGTATGGGGAAAGACTACAGCAATTTAATGCACTTAAATTAAAATCAATCGATAGCGTCCCACATCTAGTTCGAAGCATACAAATTGCGTGACAAATGTAATCTATTCCAGACTTCGATTTTCCTTCCGATACGTTTACAAGGAGGAAACGACTCTCCACATGGCCCTTTGTAACATACGTACGTAATATTACATGTAAAAAAATCACCGATTGAAAAGCTATAAAATATACATCAAGGAAATTCTGGAAGTACAATTTTAATACCTACCTACATCAAAAGTTAAAGAATAGAACACGCCCTGAACAAAATATTGAACAAATAAAGTTCCAAAAGTTGTCATTAAACTTTTACCTAAGCTATTTTCTATCTACATATTTATTTAGCCGACATTTAAGTACATAATAATTTGTATCAATACAACAATATTTGTTTTTACTCTAATAATGATTAACTAAATTTGTTCCCATTGCAAATTACCTCATTAACTTAAGGTTGTTATATTATTATATAGGAATATATGCATTCGTTTAGACGACCCTATGACCTAGTAGGTACGTTTCGTTGTTGTTGTTGCTGAAACGACTCGTATATTAGAGGTAAGAGTTCCAGTGAGTAAAACCAGAGGCGCGGGTTCGATTCCCGGTAAAGGTGTGACAGCAACAACAATTTTTTTTTCGTTAACTTCAGGTAGGTAATCTGTAGTGGAAAGAAATTGAGTTGATTTCACGTTAAGGTTTGATAATTATTACGTATTTAATTAAATCGACCGGTGTCGATGATGAATCCAAATGAAGTATAACTTCTATTACAAATATTCGTTTCATTTTTAATGTTTTATTTATTTGTTTCTTGTTAGGATGGTAGTTTATACTTGATGTTCTTTCAAGGTCCAATAAAATTCATTGTACCAGGTGATAACTTAACTGAAAACGTTTATTTCCGCTACTGTCGGTATGTCTCCTGTTTAATTTTTGAATTTTTGAAACAACGTAAATATTCCCAAGAGCAGATGGAATGAAGAAATATGTCACAAAGGCTGAACGATAAAACAAGGGCGGGAAGAAGATAAAACGAATTTCCTGAATATAAATGCTGGTTATTTCAAATGAATGAAAATGAAAAGTACAACAAAAACATTTCCGAGGTGGAATATTCGGAAAATGAATTATAAAAACGAGAATAAATTTCTCTAAAAGGGCTCTACATATCATATGAGAAGGAAAACCAGGCAGATGAAGACAAGTTGAGCCCAAAATTCGCTTCAATTATATATAAAGCAGCATACATTGCACCTACATAAAGAAAAAGATTATTGTGTAACTATATATAATAATTCTTTCAGCTTATAATACAGCATGGTTCATGGCTTTCAACCCTTTTAACATAAAAGATTTTAGACTGCTGTCGTTTTGGGTCAATATCGTACGCAGTAATTACAATTACTATGATAGAAAGAAACACTTTCAGTTAGTTTCCTGTTGTAAATAAGTTTTAACAGTTATCTTTTTGAGGTTGTTCCATATCGTCACGGATATTACTATGAGGTTCAGGTCCAGATTGTCAATTTTCCCACGGAAAACAAAAAATGGGTTTTCGCTGTGTCCCGTGAAACATTCTTTCCTTAAACTTAAATAAGGAATTAATGCTTTACGGTGTTTCAGATAACAATATTTCTAAAAAATTATAAAGCATTTTTTTTCATTTGCGCTTACAAGAAATGGTTGTTTAATTAAAATGTGAACGGATGCATAATGAAACTCGTTTATGATCAAATAAAACACGACGGTCGGAATATTCTTGGTTATCTGGGGTTGCTGCAATAGAAAAAGGCTAAGGCTCCTAGACAAATGCTATTCATCGTTGATGGTGTGATAGGTACCATTAAAATAGTTAATTGCAATTCCACTGTATATTTTTATATTCAAAGCTTTTTATTAAGGTTTTTAGGATTCGGTTCGCCATTTTTTTACCGTACGTAGACGTTACTTTTTTTTTTTCGAACGAAAAACAGAACCCTTATAGATTCACTCACTAAATGTCTAGTTTTAATTAAAAATATTGTTGATCGCATAGTATTCTACACTGTATTGTTCTCAATTTTAGAATAGAAATAATAGTTTTTAGAAAAAGGGGTGCATTTAATAATAAATACTGTTAATTAATAATTAGTAGTTTTCTTTTATGTAGCACATTTACAAAGGATTATTTATTACAATGACAGGATAATTTATTAGATGAAATGGCAGAACTAATTTCATCTGCGTGGTACACAGCACTACCGGTAGTTTTTAGACAGATGAACATTTAAACACCTTTTGAAAAAAAGTCATTATTTTCTATTAGCATAAAGCAGCAAGTACTTTTTGAACATCTTTTATATTCGGATAGTATTTACCTAATTGTAGATGACATTTCATTACAACTACAATTTAAATAAAATTTGAAAATTGTTTTGATAATTACCGACTATTTTGTTTAATTTAGAATTGTACTTTGTATTTCAAATTCAACTTTAATTTACTTTGTTTATATTTTTTTGCGTAGTTTTTCAATTAGATACGAGAGTTAAAGAGAAACTAAATTAAACTCCGTAAATAAATTATCCTGTCCGAGTCGTACCGGGGACCTTAAACGTTGGCCACCGTTTGTTTTGCGACGTGCACTTCATACAGCAGCTCGGTCGCTACTTTGTTCGACACAACAAGCGTAATTCAAGGAAAATGTATTGCCATATATCGTGTATAAGGCCATTAGCATTTTTTAAAGCTTTTAAGTGTAATACGATACCTTATGAGTTCGAAGATTTCCGGTTTCTCCCTCTCGCGTTGCTTCATCCTCTCTTTCATGGCGGTTATTATGCTGTTCGCCTTATCTTCGGCCCCATGCTTCGAACTTTTCTCTGCCGCCCCTGAAACAAACATTAGAATATTATAGTCAATGTGAAACAAGGAAAAGTGTTCAATATGATTTCAATTTGGCCGCTAGTGCGCAGGTTCAAAGCGTACATTAACAAATTAACGTAAGACACGGATTTGGTTAGAATACAAGATCAGAATTGCTGATAAATACGGTAAACGTGTATGTCATCACTCGATAGTACAATGACAGCAAATTATCCTGATTCAAGAACTCTGTTTTCAATATTGCGTCGGCATGTCATGTCGAAGAGGGTAAATATACAAAGTAGATAAGAAGACAAACATCAGAATTTAATTCTTGCACAAGTGAAATTCATAAAATGTCGCTTTTAATGCTGCGCCATCATAATAACATGTAGACAGCAAAATATAAACTGAAATGGAAAACGAAGTTAGGATTTCTTTGCATGCCAACAGTATAGGTTTTTGCGAAAACATCGTCTTGAATATCACAAGAGTATGGCATGTGAATGAGAATAAATGTAGATTAGAATGGAAAACAAGGGCAGAGTGGCTGGTGTATCAGCAATATATGCTGATTTGAAAACGTTGTCTTCAGTACTACCATTTTGTAGCATGTCATGTCGAAGTAATATTTAAAAATGAAGGATTTCTAGTTAGATAGTAATAGGTATGCATATTTCGTTCTGAGTGTATTGCTACTATTGAAGGTAAACGTTTCTAACATTTTGTCGCTCGTACTGATCGTACGAGACTGTTAATGAACCAGGATAAATAAAATCCATATTTTTTTGGATACTTTTCGGTTACGAATGTTAACAGAATATATAGCGTTTGCATAAATTCGCAGTTCATAACTGAACCGAGACATCGCATCACATTAAAACAAAACAGGATAATTACGTAATAACTTATCGTTCCGTTACAATAGTGGACATCCTTGCTAGATTAATTAACCGTAATTTAATGAATGGGTGTGCACGCCATGTTATGTATGCATGTAGGTATGAACAAATAGACCGATTATGGCGAATTTGTTACTTTTTATGTCGGTTTCTTGTTGTCATACAAAAAAAAAATTAGATCGCCTGTTTTTAATATGTTAACTGCTACTGATCAATTTATTTTACTCAATTGCAAGTTAAAGAGGTATTCCTTCAACTGGGGAGTAAGCCCGGAATACAGTGTAGCAGGCTGGTATTAGTTGTATACGAATTTATTTAAAATGAATTTCTTTTTGATCAAAATGCTGTCAGATGAACAAAATCTCGTAGAACCCAAGCGAGACTTATCGTCGCTCCTCGTTTCTTCCAGCAAGTGGCGTATTACTTCTGTAACCACGAGTCCAACCTAAAACTCCCAGACAAACAGGAAGATTTCTTACCGAGGGTACCAGTGTCCGTCAGCGGCCGGATGTTCCAGGAATGACTCCCCCTCCTGCTGGAAGTACTTACACTCCGGCACTGCTAAAGCATCTCGGGTTCTTGAGTGTAAAGGGATAGGCAACTACTTTCGCGTACCTCTACGCCACATTGTTTAACAAGACTCCGGCTTTTTCCAGCATTCAGTGGGATCGGTAAAGGGTGGACTTAGTTTCAGGGGTGGACGGCGTATAGTCTGACGGCAACGATCGCTTCCTATTATATGGTTCGATTGTAAGTACTTAGTCCGATACCTCAAGCGTCCCCCAACCGAGCGGCATGGCCTAGAGGTTTAGACCATTGCTTAGCATTCGGGAGGACGCTGGTTCGATTCCGAGTCCGGCTGCCTTGGTCCAAGTTTTTCTGTGGTTTCCTTGGATCACTTAGGCAAATGCTGAGGCAATAATATTCCACAGATAATCTTTCATTCTCTTCTGTCTTCATTTCGTCCGTCTCAACTTTCTCACCCGAACCACCACCCACCCATTCCCACCATTCCTGAAAGCAGGCTGAAGAGGGCCTTCCGCCCTACCTTCCGGCATAGTCCGGACGGACTGTTCGCCCACCAGCATTGGGAATGAAACACTCAAAAGTTTTTTTTTTTTTGCGTCCATCAAATAGTATTGTACTTAAGATACGTCTATTTACACATGCGTGACACTTTGCAAATGTCCAAATGTAAAGAGATATCCTAGTTGAAAACGGCAATGCTGCACGGAAAATCAAGTGGTATTGTCTTAGAACGTTGTAGCTTTTAAATATCAATTTGGGACACTGTAATTATTTGTCTATAGAATGTTATTAGCTGTAAAATTTATTCAAATTAATGTCGCTTTCCGCATTCGCGTTGCGTTATCCCTATCAACCCAAAGCGGGCAGTTGTCGCACAAATTAATTTGCTAAACAGCAGGAGTATATGCGTCCCGGAGAATTTATTATTTACCAACAACAATTAGTGGTTTGTTTAGGAACATTCGGGAAATATCAATGATAGTCGTCAATTAAATACAGAAAGGTATTGATTTGAGGCTTGTATGATTCATGAATACAGAGCGAGCGGCATGACCTAGATATTTAGATCATTGCTTAGCATTCGGAAGGACGCCGCGCCGGTTTGATTTCGGGTGCGTTTGCCTTGGTCCAAGTTTTCCTGTGGTTTCCTTGGATCACTTCGGCTAGGGCAGTAATAATCCTCAGATAATCTTTCATTCTCTTCTGTCTTCATTTCGTCCGTCTCATCTTTCTCACCCGAACCACCACCCACCCACCAATTCCCACGATTCCTGAAAGAATGCTGAAGAGGGCCTTCCGCCCTACCTTCCGCCGTAGTCCGGAGGGACTGCCCGCCCACTAGCATTAGTGGCTAGTGGGAATGAAACACCCAAAGGTTTTTTTTTTTTTCATGAACACAGTATTCAGGCGCATTTGTTATGGATTAAGGCATAATTAATAAAGCGTACCGAAACTATATTAATTATTATTTTGATGATATAAACATTAGGTGAAATGAAAAGGCACTGACACTACAATTTAGTGATATTTAAATGTCAATTCACATATGCAGTATTAACGCCATGCTACTGATGCATCAGATATATACGCCTAAAGTTTAAATTTCGTAGAGACTACTTCAGTCGTTGGCACACATGCTTTGCCCCGTCCTGGCCGCTGTCAGGTGGCTTTTCGAGAGATCGGATGGTTCACGACCCATGACGGACGCAGCACGGTAAGGGAACGGCACTAAATGTGCAGGAACAGCTTCAAGATTGTTCTAATGTCACAATAGTTACGGTAGACTGTGGTGGTTTTCATGGTATACCTGTTACCGCACTTAAAACCACCAATTTTTTGGTTAATTCATAATATTTTAAAAAAGTAGCGAAAATCCACTGATTCATTTTTAGAGAGTAAGTCATTCTTATGATGGTAAGGATGTGGGATGTTCTAGTTGTAGGAAAATGCGAAAAGTAGCTGAAAATAGGAAGGAGTGGAGGTGTGTGTCCAACCAGTCTTAGGACTGACGACTTTGTGATAGTCATTTACAAACTTTCATTGAAATCTTTACAGTTGTGGTTCATAAGGACTCTTTCTAGAATAGAAACTAAAGGTGGTGTATTAATAAAAGTTCCTCAGTATTAATTAACTTTAATCGGTTAATTAGGCACATTTTTATGTAGTTGGTAATTTATTACATTGTAGAAAATTAAATATAGCCACCTTAAGAAACATTCTAAAGAGAAATAAATCTAAGAAGAATGGGCCTCGCAACTTTAGTGGAAGAATAATGAGGAGGGCTCTGGTAATTTGTTTCGTAGAGAGGAGTATCCAACAGAGTTAATGAAAGGACTTCCACCACGAGTTGATGTGAGTAAAAAAGTCGAATAACGACGTTACAAAAACCATTAATAACATTAAAAGTCAACCCCTTCGTTTTTAAGTTTGTTAAGTAAAATTGACTAGCTAATGCGTTCTTACAGGAGTAAAGACACTTACACACTGACCCTTGAGAGGCATAACGTTTTTATAAGGGTTCTATCCAGTAATTTTCGTGAAAACGTAGGTACTAATAAACTTACTTATCACAAAAAATCCCAGCCGGAAGCATATAAAATACAAAGGTAGATAGACCTGTTTATGGCATGATAAAATTTGTTATTGCAGTTTATTAGAAGTGATAAAAGGTTTTCCTTACGAGTTATCTTGCGATACCTACAGCACATTTCCATTTTGCTTTCCTAAGGGTTCCAGCAAACCGTAAAATTTATTTGAAATGTTTGCATTAATTCTTAAATAAGAATTTGAACTACTAACGATTTGTCTCTCTCTTAACTACAGTATTGATGTTGAAATTCATTCAATATGTTTAAATTTTTCTAAATTTAACATCATCACTACCATTTACTCAGCATTTTACGTATAAAAAGTGAGTCTGACTGACTGTGCTTCCTAAATTCCTTTCATTGTTCGTTATAGTAGTGAAAATCCCATCAACATTTCATTTTTGGTTCGTTATGTACCGGCAAATAATGATCGGCACGGAAATCATCTTACGACTTAAATGGTGGTTACAACCATTTAAAAATAATAATGTACTTGCATAATGATGCAACTGCAACAAAATCCATTCGATGGTCTTCAAGTTTCATTGTAACAAACAAACAAATATTTTTTTTTTGCGACAGGTAACACGTTTTCTGTACGGGTCGCAAGTTAAAAGTAGGACGTAAAGCGTTAAGGAGCCTAGGAAGCATGATCCCATCAAGTCGCAGGCGAGAGTACTAGATACTATTTTCAGATACTTTAATTTGTACATCTTTTTAATTTTATACGCTTTGAACTTAAAGCTGCAGTGCCTAATTTTAGCGAACGCCTGAGGCGTCGTAAATTTATTATAAATTCAGTCGAGTTTGTAGTTAAACACCGAAAGTTTATGCGTAATATAGAGGGCGATGATGGGTTGTACAACACGGTTATGACACTTACTTTGTAGGCAATCAGCGTTGAGTAAATCCTTGCACTTCTCGTGGCACTTGACGCCGCATTCGGTGCATCGCACGCCTTGCCTCGCGATACCCCACAGCAGTCCTTCGCATTCGTAGCAGTACGTCGGTGATGTTGCCGTCCATAAAACGAAGTTATGAGGTGTTGTACTGCTAATCGGATAAATCAAGGCTTGCAGTGTCTTCTTATAGACGTGCATTTTCTGGAATATCGAAAACAAATATGTTATGGGCAACTATTCGAATGCTTCACACCTATAACAGACGAATTTTCGGAAACCAAAAAGTTTTATTATAAATGTTAGAATTTACGCTTTTGATGGCATCTCTGTTCGGGTGCGGAATGTGGATAATGGGCACGACGGAAAAGAAAAAGTTAGAAACTATAGATGGATTATGAAAATACTGTGGATACAAAAGGTTAGAAATAAATTGGTACGACAACAGAGGCCGCTACAGAGGTCATAGGATAATAGAGCTCCTTTTGAGACGCGATGGGTACGTTAGAAAGATGATAGAAGCAGGAACAGGAAAATTTTTAAGGATGTAGGTTGTTCTAGTTCTCGGATTAGTTCAGAATTGGAAGATGATAATGAACTATACAAGAAAAATGAAACTGAATATCCTGTAGATATATTTTAACGCCTAAGGTGACAAATCTGCTCATTTTGACTAATTTTTAAATGCAATCAAGAACTGTACTCTAATTTTTTTCAGAAGATCAAGATGCTATCATTAATTCGCATTTACAATAAATTTTATTGTGCGCGCTAACGTTTGAGATTCATTACACAGAAGAAAGTGGATTTTCGAATTCTAATTGTGCCTTATTCATGAAATCCTTATTACGGATTATCGTGACGGCAAAAGTGTTCTACATTTCGTCTGCCTCTTAAGAGACATCTTCAGGAACTTTACGTTGTCGATGCGGAATTCTGAGCTCTGTTGCTGAACAATAAGACACGCTTAGAATCCGGAAATCGAGTTTCTTGAGACAGTAACCGTGAAAACCTATATGAAATTCATTGTACAGCAACCTAAAATATTTTTTTTAATTATTTTTATCCTACCAATTAAAACATACCTATCCAGATTACATAATTCGTTAAATTGAATCCAAGGAAGTAGAGTTTAATATCTAATTAGAATCAGTACCTATATCGCCACCTAGTGGATATTTACTGCCACTAAAATATAACAAATAATAGAGCTTACTGTGGTGTTTCAACTTACCTAACTGGTTCTCGGTTTGAAATTGATCGAAACTACTAGACGCGGATCGCGATTTCGATCTTATAACCGCATAAGCACTTAAAGAGCCAGTCGACTTAATATTCATCTAGCGGGTATTTCTTGCTACTGCTTACAGTGCGCTGATGAGATCTAATAATGGACTCAAAATTGCGAATTTCGATACCTTTCTGACAAAGAATTTATACGTTCTGAAGCAGGTTGTGTTAAAAAGACTGAACTATAGCCAAAAGTAGGTGGCAGTAAAAAGAAACCGATTTTTTGTCATATATCTTTCATCGACTTAATTATTATGGAAGATCGACAAAGGAGGAAGTAAAAAGAAGAATTGGTTGCGTGTGGTACAAAAAAAAACAACATTAAAAGGAATATTGCGTGTGAAGGCGAATATATGAAAGAGATTTCTCCGAAGCAATATACAAAGGGCTGTGTGAAGTCCATTCTCCGAATTTGAGATAAACTTTAAATCACTCATACCCTTTCATTCTTTCAAATTTAAATATAGACAAGCAGAATAAGTGGAAAAATAGTTGAGACTGAACAATATTTGGAAAGTTAAATCATCATCATCATAAGGTCGTCAGTCCTAAGACTGGTTGGACTCGCATCTCCACTCTTTCCTATCCTGAGCTAATCAATCTAGGTTGCGCTTAGTTCTGTTTACGGATATAAAAAAAGGAGGCAGACCTATGATTGTAAAAATTCGGGAATCATAATAAGCGTTTGCAGCCTAGATTGCAATGCTTATTATTTATTTATTATACAGATCGTTCCGTACTGTAGAGACAGCTTTAAATAAAATGGAAGCGGTATTGACAAAACAGTATTGAATGAAAATAAATAAAAGTAAAACAAAAATACTGGTATACAAGGGAAGGAAAAGTAGGGAAAGAGCGNTATATATATTTAAGTTAATAAATATCGACGGATCGTTAACTATGTAGGTCGGTTGGTCGTGGTTGCTGTTGTCACCTCTCGTAGTTTAGTGGTAGAACATTGGCGCGTAAAGCCAAAGGTCCCGGGATCGATTCCCGGCGGGGGTGTGACAACAGTAACAATTTTTCCCTCATTAATTCGAGATTAATTAATACAGTTTACGTTTTTCCCTCAGTAGTCGCCTTGAACTATGTAGACACTAGTTAAAAACTACGATATTGATCACGATTATAATGTTAATTAACCTAGATTATAAAACAATGAAAACTTTTAACGATATTTCTTATAGGTACTCTTATTAAGGTTTCATTTTCTTCTTTAGAAAATATCTGATTGCAAGGGATGATTTATAAATAGCTTATCGACGTCGGGTCTACATAAAGTTGAACCGACCGATAAAATTTTGCTTTATGTTCTTTTTTCGATAAGCGAGTGATTATTCTGGGAGTAAATTGATCCTAAATGCATCCGCGGAAAGTGCTTTGTGCATTATACAAACAAACAGAACATATTTACTTCGTGAGACTCAAACTGTTAGTATGGGGAAAGACTACAGCAATTTAATGCACTTAAATTAAAATCAATCGATAGCGTCCCACATCTAGTTCGAAGCATACAAATTGCGTGACAAATGTAATCTATTCCAGACTTCGATTTTCCTTCCGATACGTTTACAAGGAGGAAACGACTCTCCACATGGCCCTTTGTAACATACGTACGTAATATTACATGTAAAAAAATCACCGATTGAAAAGCTATAAAATATACATCAAGGAAATTCTGGAAGTACAATTTTAATACCTACCTACATCAAAAGTTAAAGAATAGAACACGCCCTGAACAAAATATTGAACAAATAAAGTTCCAAAAGTTGTCATTAAACTTTTACCTAAGCTATTTTCTATCTACATATTTATTTAGCCGACATTTAAGTACATAATAATTTGTATCAATACAACAATATTTGTTTTTACTCTAATAATGATTAACTAAATTTGTTCCCATTGCAAATTACCTCATTAACTTAAGGTTGTTATATTATTATATAGGAATATATGCATTCGTTTAGACGACCCTATGACCTAGTAGGTACGTTTCGTTGTTGTTGTTGCTGAAACGACTCGTATATTAGAGGTAAGAGTTCCAGTGAGTAAAACCAGAGGCGCGGGTTCGATTCCCGGTAAAGGTGTGACAGCAACAACAATTTTTTTTTCGTTAACTTCAGGTAGGTAATCTGTAGTGGAAAGAAATTGAGTTGATTTCACGTTAAGGTTTGATAATTATTACGTATTTAATTAAATCGACCGGTGTCGATGATGAATCCAAATGAAGTATAACTTCTATTACAAATATTCGTTTCATTTTTAATGTTTTATTTATTTGTTTCTTGTTAGGATGGTAGTTTATACTTGATGTTCTTTCAAGGTCCAATAAAATTCATTGTACCAGGTGATAACTTAACTGAAAACGTTTATTTCCGCTACTGTCGGTATGTCTCCTGTTTAATTTTTGAATTTTTGAAACAACGTAAATATTCCCAAGAGCAGATGGAATGAAGAAATATGTCACAAAGGCTGAACGATAAAACAAGGGCGGGAAGAAGATAAAACGAATTTCCTGAATATAAATGCTGGTTATTTCAAATGAATGAAAATGAAAAGTACAACAAAAACATTTCCGAGGTGGAATATTCGGAAAATGAATTATAAAAACGAGAATAAATTTCTCTAAAAGGGCTCTACATATCATATGAGAAGGAAAACCAGGCAGATGAAGACAAGTTGAGCCCAAAATTCGCTTCAATTATATATAAAGCAGCATACATTGCACCTACATAAAGAAAAAGATTATTGTGTAACTATATATAATAATTCTTTCAGCTTATAATACAGCATGGTTCATGGCTTTCAACCCTTTTAACATAAAAGATTTTAGACTGCTGTCGTTTTGGGTCAATATCGTACGCAGTAATTACAATTACTATGATAGAAAGAAACACTTTCAGTTAGTTTCCTGTTGTAAATAAGTTTTAACAGTTATCTTTTTGAGGTTGTTCCATATCGTCACGGATATTACTATGAGGTTCAGGTCCAGATTGTCAATTTTCCCACGGAAAACAAAAAATGGGTTTTCGCTGTGTCCCGTGAAACATTCTTTCCTTAAACTTAAATAAGGAATTAATGCTTTACGGTGTTTCAGATAACAATATTTCTAAAAAATTATAAAGCATTTTTTTTCATTTGCGCTTACAAGAAATGGTTGTTTAATTAAAATGTGAACGGATGCATAATGAAACTCGTTTATGATCAAATAAAACACGACGGTCGGAATATTCTTGGTTATCTGGGGTTGCTGCAATAGAAAAAGGCTAAGGCTCCTAGACAAATGCTATTCATCGTTGATGGTGTGATAGGTACCATTAAAATAGTTAATTGCAATTCCACTGTATATTTTTATATTCAAAGCTTTTTATTAAGGTTTTTAGGATTCGGTTCGCCATTTTTTTACCGTACGTAGACGTTACTTTTTTTTTTTCGAACGAAAAACAGAACCCTTATAGATTCACTCACTAAATGTCTAGTTTTAATTAAAAATATTGTTGATCGCATAGTATTCTACACTGTATTGTTCTCAATTTTAGAATAGAAATAATAGTTTTTAGAAAAAGGGGTGCATTTAATAATAAATACTGTTAATNCAGAGATAAAAAGTGATACTTAGTTTGTATAAAGATAGGCAGTTATAGAGCTGGAGCAGCAACGTAGAGAAGTAAATATTAGGAAGGGAGTCAGAAAAGAATTCACGCTGTAAGGATAGATATAGAGGGGCAAAAAATTAGTATGTTTAGATTTGCAGATGATTTAGCAGTATTAGTATCTATCGGGAAGGAGTTAGAGATAGCTTTAAATAAAATGGAAGCGGTATTGACAAAACAGTATTGAATGAAAATAAATAAAAGTAAAACAAAAATACTGGTATACAAGGGGAGAGAATGTAGGGAAAGGGCGAATATAAA